ANNNAACAGAGGAGGGAGCGGAGGGGGACCACCTGTCCCCCTGAGCAGCAACAGCGCACTATGATGCGCCATTTCTGCTCATTTGATCTTTATTTCATAGCATGTATTTATTTTATTACAATATAATACAATTTTTTTGGCATTTTTTTGCTGCAATAAGGCAGGGATGAGGACCAGAGTGGAAACGATGTGTCACGACACGGCATTTCTATTTCTTTTCATCTTAACTCATAGTTGGTGGCTGGTAAGAGCCACCCACATCATGTATGTATTTTATTTCAATTTAAAACGATTTTTTTTTTACTATTTTTCTGGTGTACCCCGAGCTCGCCGGATGTCGTGGCAGACGGCAGCAAGACCATTACAATGGGTTTGTCATAGTAATTACAGCGTAATCTAAAAATAGCTACAGGCCCCACCAAAAGGGCCATGTCATCCAAACCCACCTGGCCCAATCCATCCATTCCCGCCCCCCGACAATGGGGGAAATGGTGCACAACAATGAGGAAATATATTTCCTCATTGTTGGCGCTTTTTCCCCATCGAAAACGGTGGCAGGCATGCCAAAAACAACGAGGAACAATGCTTGGGCATTGTTTCCTGCATTGTTTGCTTGTGTTGATAGGCCCTGCCCACAGCTGCGAGCCCCGGCACACCCGGCAAGGCCCTCTCCATAGGTGGACTGTAAAACCACAGTCCTGACACATAAGCATACCTTGTAAAAATACAGTGTCTGATATAGATTTCTAGCAGACATGGCTGAGGGGCAGATGGATGGTCGAAGTGTGGGGGTGTCAAGGGTGTCGAAGGGCAAGGGTGTTGAAGGGCGAGGGCGGCATTGGGCGATTGATGGTTGAGTATTTGGCGTACAAGGAAGCAGAGGAGAGAGCGGGGGCACTGTAGCACAGAGAAGCCAGCCCACATCCCCTGTTGAAGGGGAGGGGCATGCGGTGTGGTGGCTGGAATCGTGCATGCGAGGGGGGATGTCCTGAGGGATAGAATGGGTAAATAAGCAGTTTGAACGATAGAAAATAAGTGTACTTACCTTATCTGTGGCGAACACGAGTCTCGCAGCGCGTTTTGAGGTGTCGGAGAGTGCCAGGTGGCGGTCGAGAGCAGCAATCAACAATGTTGAACATCATTGATTGTTGTTTCGGCAAACTCCACCGCGTGATCCTATTGGCTGGAGCCACTGGCCTGCCTAACTCAGACATTGCCTGTTCCACCACCACCAGAATGTAAAGACTTGTCATGTGAAGGAACTTGTTGATTTGATTCCAGAGAAAGTAGTTCTGCGAAAGACAAAAAGTGGAAAGTATGTTGGATTTTCAGCAGTGCATGACTATGTCTATCGACCAGCTGCATTTGAAGATAAGACACTATATGAGTGGATTCAAATGAGTATTAAAATTAAAGCTTCTCACTCTCAATAACATGATAAAATTGAATCAGATGATGAACTTGATTTATTTGCCCAGCCACCTTCTGAAGCTAAAGTTGAAACTGCTAGCCCTTTAAAATTCAAAGCTACAGTTGAAGATGTAGATGAAAGTAAAGATGAACTTAATATACTTTCTGGTGATGAGATAGAAGAATATAAGAGTGAATCTGAATCTGAATCTGAGCCTGAAGAGACTTCTGATGGTAAAACTTACTTCTTTTTGAAGGATCATCCTATGTATGAAACTCATCAAGTTGTTTTTAATGAGAAAAGAAAAAACATTGTGCCCAACTTTGTAGGTGGATCACTTCCAAGATGTAATAGAGGAGACCGAGAATATTACTGTGCAACTATGCTTACTCTCTTCAAGCCTTGGAGAACAGGAAAGGATCTAAAGACTGAAACTGATACTTGGGATAATACTTTCAATACTTTCAGCTTTACTAATCATCAAAAGCAGCTTATGAAGAACTTTAATATCAGATATGAATGTAATGATGCTCGTGATGATTATTCTGCTCAATTGAAGAAGAAAAATACTGGAGTATTTCCTCAATTTATGAGTGATGATATACTTGATGATCTTGATGAAGACAATAATAATCAATATAGTGGAGCAGACTTTGGTGATGATGCACCTGATGAAAAATATGAACAGAATAGATATATGAAACCTGGAAGAAAGGATCAGAAAGATATTGAAGACATGATAGCAGTAGAGACTGGAATTACTGATGCTGGATGGATGGACCAGTCACCCAATGGACTTGATAAAATTGACAAAACACCTGTTGAGCCAGAAGTAATTCAGAAAGGGTCCAGATGGAAAGCTACTGTTGATGAAGAAAGACAGAAGCTTCTGTCTGAGAGAGGGAAGACTATCTCAAAGTCTGCTCAAAAATCATCAGACCCAAATGAAAATAATGTCCAAGTGGTTGACCAGTCATATCTTTTCAAATCCTTCAAAGCACAACACAAGTCTGATCAGAAACTAATTGATGATACTGTTTATAAATTTTCACTGAATAATGAGCAAGAGCGAGCCTTTAGAATAGTTGCTAATCATGCTGTAGAGCATAAATCTGGACAGTTGAGAATGTACTTGGGTGGTATAGGTGGAACTGGAAAATCACAAGTCATCAAAGCCTTGGTGGATTTTTTTAAGTCAAAAAATCAGTCACATTGGATAGTTGTTCTTGGTCCAACTGGTACTTCAGCAGCTCTTATTAATGGATCTACCTATCATTCATTTTTGGGAATTAATCCTGGTGGAAATACAGCCTCAAAAATTGCCCAACTTCAAGCTCGACTTGAAGGTGTTGAGTATATATTTATTGATGAAGTCTCAATGATGTCTTGTATGGATATTTATAAGATTTCTGCCCAGTTAGCCAAAGCTTTGAATGCATTTGATTTGCCTTTTGGAGGAATGAATATTATTTTTGCTGGTGACTTTGCTCAATTGCCTCCAGTTGGTGGACAATCTTTGTTTAGTGAATATGTTGGAACTCAGATACATTCTGGACTAACACCAGATCATCAGAAGGCTGCTATTGGAAAGGCTCTATGGCATCAGGTTACTACTATAGTAATACTTCAACAGAATATGAGACAGACTAGTCAAACTCCACAAGATGCAGCTTTGCGAACTGCCTTAATTAATATGCGATATGGTAAATGTACACCAGCTGATATTGCATTTCTGAGAACTCTACAGGCTGGAAAGCAACTAGAACAGCCCAAAGTATCTGCCAAAGAATTCAGAAATGTTGCTGTTATATGTGGTCGTCATACAGAGAAGGATCAGATCAATCAACTCGGATGTCAGAGATTTGCAGAAGAGACTGGCCAAAGACTTACACATTTCTATTCAATTGACAAGTGGGGCAAGGAGAAAGATCCAAGTACAAAGACCAAGTGGGGTCAGTCAAAAGCTGCTTCCAAGTCTAAACACATTTCTAATGAGATTGATCCAGATATGCAGCAAAATATATGGAAACTTAGACCTGGAGTTACAGATAACTTTGCTGGCAAATTATCTTTATGTCTTGGCATGCCTGTTATGATTAGAAATAATGATGCAACTGAACTCTGTATTACCAAAGGTCAAGAAGGCTTTGTACATGCCTCTTTCTCTTGAACACCCACTTGTAAATACATGTAAACAACCAGCTCACCGTCTCATTTGTTGTCCAACACATTATCTACCAGTCAGACCTCCCCACCTGATTGTTCGCACCACCTCAGCAAACGTCCAACCTCCCACTGAGAGGTCAGGGCATGAGACCTCCTGGGATTTGTTACAGGGGCTCGGGCTCCGCTCCACCAGCTCCCCCACCAACATCAGCTGCTGGCTCATCATCCCTGGGTGGTGGTGCCTTGCCAATATTGCCAGACCCTACTTCGACTAGGGCCACATACTCGACGATTGTACCAGCTCGATCCCACCACACATCGCCCCGCTGCAGGTCCCGTTCCACCATGGGTTCCGCCTATTCGTCTGCAGATGAGTCTGACTCAGGGACAGCCCACCCCCAGGAGGTGGAGGTGGAGGGTGCTCAGAAAGGCAAAGAGGTCTCAAGGGACCCCTCCGTCGACCTACTCTTAGGTCAATACATCTTGAAGTTCCGAGACACCATTGAGGATCTTCCTGGTGATCTTGAGGTATTGACCACCTCCATTGCGAAGGCCACAGACTGGGTTCTGCAGGCCATGCACCACGATCCACTCTCCATCAATGGGGGTGATGCCTTCATGGCTCAGATGATGTCCTTTGTGAACGCTGTCATGGCCACTGACTTTAGTCGAATTCGCGGACCAGGCAAACTCGACAACTTCTCGCTCGCCTCCCTCCTTGAGGCTGAGACATCTTCTAAGGATGAGCCAACCATCCACCCAGCTCCCGTTTTCCGACCCCCTCCTGCTGCAGCCTGTGGGCCGCTCAATGAGGGTGTTGACATCAGCTATGTCCACTAGAAATCTATATCAAACACTGTATTTAAGCAGGGTATACTCACATGTCAGGACTGTGATTAAACAGTCCACCCACGGAGAGGCTGTTGCTGTGCATGCTGGAGCTCAGTGCTGTGGGTGGGACCTGTCAACACAGGAAACAATGCCTGAGCATTGTTTCTCATCGTTTTCGGCACTCCTGCCACCATTTTCAATGAGGAAAAGGTGCCAACGATGAGGAAAACATATTTCCTCATCGTTGGCACCTTTTCCTCCATTGTCGGGGGGCGGGAATGGATGGATTGAGCCAGGTGTGTTTGGATGACGTGGCCTTTTTGCGGGCCTGTAGCTATTTTTAGAGTATAATGTAATAACAATGACACACCGGCTGTGGTGCTCTCACCGTCATCTGCCATGACATCCAGTGAGCTTGGGGGCACCTCAAAGCACACAAAAAAAAGGTACAAAAAATCATATTAAATTGAAATAAAATATACACATGGTGCAGGTGGCTCTACCAGCCACCCACTACAAGATAGGGAGAGAATGAGTAGAAACAACGCATTGTGACGTGTCGTTTCCACTCTGGTTCTGGTCTGTGCCCTATTGCAGCAAAAAAATGTAAAAAAAAAGTATTATATTGTGATAAAATGAATACATGTGGCAGGTGGCTAGCAGAGCCACCTGCAATGAAATAAAGATCATTTGAGCAGGAACAGCGTGTCATAACGCTGTTCCTGCTCAATGGGACAGGTGTCCCCCTCCGTTGCTCAGCGGGGCACCCACTGCCCCTCTGGTCACCTGTTGCTGTCAGCTGATATATCGATTATTGGCAGTTGCCCGATATGAGGGATGAATCAGGGAGGGCAGTTCCCCAGGCCTTAAAACAACAGTATTGTAGACCTGTTTTGCTCTAGATGTGACAGCTTGGGCAATTGCCCAATGTCCTTTTTGGGAATTTTTTGTGCAGGGTTGTAGATCATGTTGAGGTGATCCTGATGGTACTTGAATGACATCATCAGCATTAGTCATTGCTGAGAAAAATGCAAAAGAATTTCAAAACACCGGCGGTTTTGAAATTTTTTTTGTACAGGGTCATAGATCATGATCAGGTGATCCCAATAGTACTTGAATGACATCAGCAGCATTACTGGTTGTTGAGAAAAATGCAAACAAAGTTGATTCCCACAGTCATGTGACCTGTTATTTGAAGAAATATCAATAGCCTCTAGCAATTGTCTAATGCTTGATATGAAGAGACTTGAACAAAATTTTGCCAAAGTCCAACTCACAATATGTGACTCTGTGATGCCATCAGCACCTTTGATGGACTTATTGCATTTGCATCACACCAATGCTAGGCATGGCAGTCATATATTTACTATTTGTTTGTATTTGAAGCCAGAATATCAAAGTTTCAGAGGCCGAGCATGAAGAAAAAGGCAAGTTGAAAGCCACATGACTTGTTGATCTACTTGGCATCTGTCACATATCACAGTCCATAACACCCCTCTACATCATTTTTACAGGGCAATTGCCTCTGTTTTATAGGGCTGGGGAACTGCCCTCCCTGATGCATCGTCAGTTTTGGGCAACTGCCCAGCTTCATATGTATCACTGACAGCACTGGCTGCTCTGGTGCTCGTTGTGGCCCACCCCTCTGCTCCCTCCCCACTCTCCATCCGCTGCTCATGGGGCCTGATCTGTCCCACACCCTCTGCCTCATCAGGCCCATTCGACCCTCGCTGGACCCATTTGTCACTGGCTGGGTCTGTTTATCGTTGGCTGGGCCTGTTTGTCGCTTGTCGGGTCTGTTTGTCCCTTGCTGGGCCCATTCGTTGCTCGTTGGGCTCATTCATCCCTCGTTGGGCTCATTCATCCCTCGCTGGGCCCATTTGTCCCTTCGCTGCTCGTTGGGCTTGTTTGTCACTGGCTGTGCCTGTTCGGGTGCTTGTTGAGCCTGTTCAGGTGCTCGCTGGACCCGTTCGATGCTCGCTGAGCCTGTCCATGGCTTGTTGGGCCCATTCACGTCCTCATGCTCACCCCTCCTCATGCTCACCCTTGTGCTGGTGCTGTTGGCGGGTGGGTACTGAGAAAAAGGAAGGGAGGGGTGGCAGGCAGGAGGCAAAGGGCGAGAGGCAAAGGGCGAGAGGTGAAGGGTGGGAGGTGAAGGTTGAGGGGTGGGGTGAAGGTTGAAACGGCGAGCAAGGGTGAACAGGGGGGGTTGGAACAATGAATGTGAACACGGGGCAAAGGCAAGCGAGCTCGTCATGTCCTTGCCCCATTGCGGTACCTGCCTCATCATGGTGCCTGGCCATTATGGTGCCCGCCTGTCGTGGTGGTCGCCCCATTGTCGTCCTCACTCCGTCATGCAACCAGCATTAGTGGGTGGGTCAGACGAGGGGCAAGACCCACATCCCTGTCGAAGGAGAGGGGTGGGTGATAGGCAGTGGGCCGATGGGTGCGAGAGCAAGGAGGAAGGGGGTGGTACAGAGGATTGGGATGGGGATTAGGTTGCCAGAGGAGAAGTGGTGCTGTGCCCACATCCCTATGGCAGGGGAGGGGCCTGAGAGGCGAGGAAAACGAACATCGACTTTAAGTCGACGTTCGTTCACCTAGTTTGAATAAAAATGTATGTTAGAGTATAATTGTAAAGATAAACATACTGCTCACCTTTTTTTCAGTCCTGGGGGTTCATTTGAGGCATTGGACTGAGTGGGGGAGCGCCAGGTGGTGGTTGAAGCTGAGATCAATGACGACAAATGTTGTTGATGGCTTATCCAGCAAACGCCATGAGCAATTTGATTGGCTGAGGCTGGCAGTCCAGCCAGCCTGCATTCCGCTCATCGACCCCAGAACAGCCTATACACTTGAAATATGAAGAAAATCCTTTGATTAATGATCAGTAATTAATAAAACTACTGTGCTCTATGTATTTAAAAAGGTCCAAATATGATCTGAGAGCAAGAATGAGCTGAAAGCTCAAGTTACCATTTCCGCGTGGTGATTTACGTCCTCTTGATGCTTCCAACCTCATGAATACCACTCATTTGACAGGCTGAAACATCACAAAAACCTTGCATTTGCAATACTTGGGTAAGTATGTACATCATATAAAAAAATCAGCCTGAATCTACCATGTAAATCCTATGATACAAGCCGATGTCTGATATTTGCAGTACTTTGTGGTCCCCCACAGAGTGCTATAGGACTCCATTGGAGTCCAGTGGAGTTGGCATATTATCCAGTGGAGTCCAGTAGAGTCCAGTGGAATTATACTGGAGTTCAGTGGACTCCAGTGGACTCCAGTAAGAAGGTATAGTGGAGTTCAGTGGAGTCCAGTGGAGTCCAGTAAGAAAGTATACTGGACTCTACTGGAGTGTGATACTGGAGTCTTACTGGAGTCTTACTGGAGTCTTACTGTACTCCACTGGACTCCAGTATATGTATCAAAATGGACTACTACTCAGTACCTATTATGCATCAGAATAGATAATAGTCTGTTGAGCAATTGCCCAAGTCCAGCATATTGTAATGACCATGCTGGATGGGGTGGGGACTTGGCTTCAGCTGGACGGAAGGGGCAGCTGCACCACCACGCAACGTCTGGGTGTCCCCGATTTCGGATGAACAGGGAGGAGCCGGATTCCGGCAGTGAACTAGAGCAAAGGGGGTATGTCGAGTTCGATATTACGACTGAGGAATCTACTACTGTACATGGGTATTTATGCTATGTAGGATAATGGACCATGATTATGTAATAGATAACTTAGCCGGGACAAGGAGAACAATGAAGGACAATGGGACAATGGCTGGGAGACACAATGGAGTGAGCCAGAAACATGGCTCGCCTCGGAAGTGCCTCAGAAGCGCACGGCTCGTTCCCAGATGTCTCGGAAGCGTCCCGGAAGAGCACGGCTCATTACCACAAGCCTCGGAAGCTGGATACAGCCTCAGGAGCCGGATAATTGTGGCGGGAGCCGGGGACGGGTCATGACACATAGGGTATGTAGCAAGATGCTTAATAATCATTCTTTTCAGAAAAAAGCATCAGGATTTGTAGAGCACCTTTGGTTGACCCTGAATCAAGTTGTTTGATGTCATCAGCTGCTGTGCTTGGCAAGAAAAATGCAAAATATCAAAAAAAAAAATAGGTCATCTTTGTAAATTTTGGCATTATTTGGCTTATATCTTGTTATTAATAGAGCCAAATACTATTACTCAAGTGGATTCAGAAGCATCTGAGCCTAGGGCTTTTATTGCAATGATTTTCTCCCAAAAAAATAATATTTCTCACAGTCATGTGACCTGCATATTTCAATTCCCAGTCCCTGTATAGATCAAGCAATATTGTCTTCAAAATCCAATTTGTCACATGTGACTCTCATATTGATGGCATCAGCAAACTTGATAGCTTTATTACTTTTTATTGATGCCAAGTCTGGGCCTAGCAATCATATATTTATTAATTGTTTCTATTTGAGGCCATAACATCAAAGTTTCAGAAGCTGATCCTGAAGGAAAAGGCAAATAAAAAGTCACATGACCTGCCATCAATCTTGGCATCAGTCACATTTTTCTTCTATGACTATGACATCTCTCTGCATTGTTCACTGGACTCCACTGAAGTCCTATAGGAGTCCAGTGGAAAATAGACACTCCACTCCAGTAGACTCCAGTGAACTCCAGTAGACTTTGGGTGGTGACTCCAGTGGACTCCAGTGAACTCCACTGGAGTTCACTAGAGTCCTATAGGGATATGTGGGGGAGTGTAAAGACCTCAATATTTGACACATCTGTGAGTTGGTTTGACTATGGAATCCACCCCGTCATTGGCCATTTCTTAGTTTACATCTTAAAATTAATAAATTGGCCAGAGGAGCTCTAAAGCCCATTACTATCACCATAAGCCAGTGTGTATATCATTTTTATATATTTATTCGGCATCTTCTGCCTCTTGGAATCCACATACAGAGGTCAGAGTCCCATCATTGGCCTGAGCCTGAGATGGTTTCGCTCATAAAATATTTCATTTCTGCCAGATCTCACTATAATTAGGTGTACACATGATCTTATATACTTAAAACAATTTCTGATGGTTTTAATAGAGATAAATTGCATTCTGCATGCATCAGAGACATTCCGTTGGTCGACAACAGAACGGATGGGGAATGGGCCAGATGCCTCAGCCAATAGGAGGCACAGCCAGAACTTGCTGAACCGAGATCAATGATGTTGAACCATTGTTGATCCTGGTCTTTCTCCACCACCTCCCTCACCCCTCACAATGAAGCAGCCCCAAAACACAAAAAAAAGGTAAGTACATATTTCTATTATGTACCTACATCACTACTAACCAACACAGAACCCTGTCCACGTCAATGACGACCCACTGAAGCTGCCCCTCCCCTCGCAACAGGGATGTGGGCTAGGACACCTCCCTGCCCACCACCGCCCACTTGCCCACCACTGCCCATTTGCCCACAATTGCCCTCTCGACCAGGATGGCAATGGCAGGCACAGGATGGCAATGGCAATGGAGGTGGCGCAACGATGAGGATGGTAGGGGCACGACAAGGACAGCAGGGGCACGACAAGGACAGTGAGGGCATGATGAGGACAGCGGGGGCACCCTTCACCTCTGCTCTTGCCCCTTGTTCACCTGTCCTCTGACTCTGCCCTGCCGTTTTGCCCACCTCATCCGCCTCTCACCCTTTTGTCCACTTGCCCACTTGCCCACCATTGCCCTCTCGACCAGGCAGAGGATGGCAACGGCAGGCATGAGACGACAACAGTGGGGGCAGGACGACGATGACGACAATAGTGGGCCAGGATGACGATGACGACAGCAGGGCCAGGATGACATGGCAGCGGGGGTTGCATGACGATGGTGGGGGCACAATGACAACGGCAAGGGTAGGATGACGATGGCAGCGAGGGCCAGATGACGACGACAGACGGCAGGGGCCCCCTTCACTCCCGCCCTCATCCCTTGTTCACTGCCCCCATCCTCTGCCTCACCCTCTCACCCCTTCCCTGCCCTCTCACCCTCTGCCCCCAGCCATGTAAGCTAGAAAAATATAGAATACAAGGCAGTTTCCTAACTATGAATCTAAGCCCTGGAGGGCAATATGCTACCTTCCACTTTGGGAAGGCTCTCCTAATAAGAGGGAGGGGTTGCCAGGTGCCCGGCATCTGCAAGGGTGATGAGGAGGGGGTAAATAAATTAGTAAGCATCCATTTCCGGGGTGGGCAGGTGGTGGGAGGTGCAGGAGGGGGCAGAATGGGGGTGGGATAGGCCAAGCAGGACCCCAGGGCACTGCAGAGAACTGGTCATGTGACCTGTTTGCTCTGCAGCCTCAACTGGGGCCGTTTTTTTTGAAAAAAGTACCCAGGGCCAATGTGATAGTATGTTACTGTGTGTCATAAAAAAATCAGGAGAATCTGGGATATGGAATGTTGCGAAACGGCGCATATGAGGTGTCACCTTAACTTGGCGCACATTTATTTTTAGCACAAGCTGCTAAATTGGGATCTGGCATCAAAATAGCCATTGCTGGTGCATTTCAGGCTCGTTTGGCTTCCCCCTGGGTGGAAATTGATGGGAACGATGATTTGATAAGTTTGAAGAAATTCATAGCTACCTGTAGACACCAAGAACATGTGAATACAACCATTTTTGGCGATGTTATGGCCTAAACTGTGCTTCTATGCACAAAAATGCGAAAATGCGCACCTAATGCTCTGCCTCTCATGCATCCCTGCCTCATAAAAACTAGCCGATAATTTAGTATGCTACTAGAGCTTCAGGACGAGCCAATAATAATGGTCTTGCATGCATTATTGGTTATGTAATGGGCCTTTCGATGTTTATGTGCTAAAAACCCGAAAAAGCGCACTCAAATCTCTATGCCACGTATGTATCTATCCTTTCCAAACATTATGCGTTCAGATAGAGGCTATCAAAGGCTACAAAACGCGCTATTCAGTGTCTCCACACGTTCATTTGTTCCAAAGATATACCTACAACACTCCTCATCCCTCAATATCACAAAAAGCGAACTTCTGTATCTCCCCCAATTCTTATCCAAGATCTGTAGAACTTTTCAGTCAGTCTCACCCAGTGCTCTACTCACTATTTACAGTCACATAGCATGGTATAGTC